AAATTTTCTTTTCAACGACATTAACATCAATTATTTTGATTTGACACTAGTAACTAGTGTGATGCGTCTAGTCTTCTCTTTGGTGCATACTGAATTCTATCAGTCAGGTTGTAATGTGGCCACCATTCTAGGTAGCTCGCCATCACGGTGTACATTGTTTGTGATGATAATAGATGGTTGGAGGCAATCGGCCACAGGAAGCCTTGCCGGGACCTAGGTTTCGTGCTAGTTGGCACTTGTCAGCAAGGCGTATCTGCAACCTTGAAGGAACTCATGTCCCTTCTGAGATTCGAGCCCACGTCACCAGCCAGTGCTGCAGTCAGAGACGTTACCACTGAGCTATTCGTGCTCACGATTGACCTCCTGTAGGACTGTGGTGTCGGTAACGTCTCTTACTGCAGCACTGGGTGACGCGGGTTCGAATCTCAGAAGAGACGTGAGTTCCTTCAAGGTTGCAGATACGCCTTGCTGACGAGTGCCAACTAGCACGAAACCTAGGTACAAGGTTTCCTGTGGCCGATTGCCTCCAACCATCTAACATCATCATTAACATCAACTAGGCTGTACATTTATGTATTTATAGTAAGTGTGTGAGTAAGTTCTAGAATTATTTCCGATCAAAGGTCAAATTAATAAAATTACAAAGTGTAATAAAGACATAATAAGAGCATATTTACTGAGAAACTTGACTGCTTGTCCGAATTACGGATTAAGGACGCAGTAATAATAAAATAGGTAGAAAGTTTGGACATATATAAAAATAAAAAAACAGCAACCAAATCTAGTAATGCAGATGGGAATTAAAAACGTCGAAAAAACAGAAATAAACAGGAGCGTTGGATAAGAAAGGTGGCAAGATAATGATTGATAGTGGGACAGACTTTTCATGATGGCCATGGTAGGCAAAACGGTTGGATGTATTTCTTTTGAACAAATAATGTGGGCTTAAGCTCTTGGGATCGCTAGCGCCTCAGCTGTTTCTAGATACTTTGATTTCACCCCCTTTGATAGGTTTGATCGGATGTTGTATTTGACTTTGAAGGACTTTTCATCAAATCCAGCTGAATGTCCTGAATTCACTAGATAGACCCTTGAGTTCTCTCTTTGCTAACCATGCTGAGTGCGTTTTACAAATAGACGCATGGTACGGTCAATGTACTCGGCTCCATACGAGATTTAATTAAACCTTTGATCGTAAATAAGTCTGGAACTTTATCACACATTTACTACGAATACACGACTGTACAGCCTAGTCGATGACTTCTTCGAAAAGAAAATTTTATTCTTCTTTGTAACCGTAATTTCGGAATAGTTGGTAAGACGCAAGAGAACAAAGGACTCTAAACAGGTCGCAAAACATAGAAATAACAGGACAGACTACAAGGCGCTTATTATACAGATATTCAGAAACGCAAAAAGGAAAAAATCATTGTTAAGGCCATGGTATTAAAAGAGGCTGGATAAAAAGTTTTTGAACACAAAGTCCAGGTTTGTCCTTATAGATTGCTAAAGCTTCGTCTGCATGAGGAAGATGTCGGCAAACTCCTTTTGAGTGGCATAGTCGCAATTTAAATATATATGACTCTATATGAAGTCTCTGACTATCCTGCATGACCAGAAGTAATAATTATTTAATTGAATTTCAGATTTTCGCCGTCGATTTATTGGACTGAAGTGCTCGGTCTCAGGTTGACACGTTGGTTTCTTGTGCAGATGCTTCGACGATGTCTGAGCATGTAATTCGAATTTAATTGGTGGATGGTGGTTAGCAGTGGAATCCAGGATACGCATTTCGTCGTATTTGGGACCCGTCATCTGGATGTGCCTGCATTCCCCAGTGACTGGTGATGTTTCCACCGATACTTGAACCCACTGCCCATAGTATCAAACGCCTAAGCGTTATCCACTTCGGTCCAATCAATTGACGGGAAAATCTAAAAATCAACTAAATAATTAATGTGACCCATTGCACAAGAGGTGGCTCTCGTGGCCCAAGTGATCCAGTGGACAACGCTCTGACGTTTGATACTATGGGCGCTGGGTTCGAGTATCGGTGGAAACATCATCACTCACTGTAGAATGCAGGTACATCCAGATGATGAGTCCTAAATAGAACGAAATGTGCATCCTGGATTCCACCGCTAGTCACTATCCACCAATTCAGAAGTAATAATGTTCTTCAGAATTGGGGTGTTGAGTGTTGTCAGTGGGGGGATTTTGTCTTTGGCGTTTTTGTGCATAAGAGCATATGCGGAAGAAATGAGGCGTACACATGCGGCAAACAATGTTCTTCGAATTATTCTCGACAGGCAACCCCGGAGGACTTCACTAATTGTATTTCATTTGAATTTCAGATTTAAAATCAGCTGTTTCTTCAACGCATCCAGGTTTCGCACAGTAACGGTCTTTCGCTCTAGATGTCTGTCAATGCAGAAGGTTGTGTATGCACTTTTGCTTTGAGTGCTTCTGAAGGATTCCAGTTCCTCATTCAATGCATCTTCGGTGCATTTCCGACAGATTCGCGTAGTAAGAGAGTCAATAAGATTTCTTTTTCTGATTATTGAAACAAAACTATAAAAGTTTGTCAACTGTACATTCCATTTTGGCTTACAATAAATCCATCTTTGTAGACTTCCGACTGTCCATTTTGAAAGCAATTACTCCTTGGTTTACAGCGGTACTCCAGCTGATAAAAGTTGCTAATCTAACTTGAAGTTAGTTGAATAACTACAAAAAGACAATTGAAAATGAAGGAAATTATGCCAGAAAAGGTTAAGTGATTATTTCGATACGTTTCGGACTTGTTCTGTTTCAGTCGACCTGTCGTTTTCAGGTATGATGGAAAAAGCCTGTAAGAAATGAAATTAGCCATTTGTCCAGTATTCTACTAATTTACCCAAACATCTATTGTGATGGTGAGCAAACATTAAAATGGAAATCTGAGTGGTGGTCCTGTTTGAGTCATCCTTAGTCACTTTATAGGTACAGAGTTTCTTATGTGTCAAAGATTTCTATGAAATCTGGCGTGGAAATAAAGCGATCAATATCCAGTGCCTAGGTAGAATAAACCTATTCTAAGCGATTACGGTTTAATCTTATCCAGATTAAAAAAAGTAGTTTCCGGATAAATTACTCTATTAAAGCAATGCAAGCTTTATAGGTAGCAGTAATTCACTAAAATAAGTGATGACCACTAATCGGATGTTTTCTAAAAGAAATGGGTGTGCCAGATCAGTGGAGAAACGCATTCTGGCTCTGTTGATCCGTTGGAACTTAGTATGATATATTACTTTCCCCTGCAGACAAAATCATGATAAACTGCATTCCTCAAGGAAAAAATTTTTAAGATAACGCTTCAGCTCAAAGATCATTTTAGAGAAATATATCCTGAAATGTCTACTGACTGTTTTGGTGTTTTGATAGGAATTCATTGACGTATCACTCGGTTTTAACTTTAACAGTTTCGTAATTCTTGTATTCCACCTTTCTTTCTCTACTGCTCCCCGCCACTCAACCTTTCCCAGGCTACTTGTTACACAGCGAAGACCACATCAGGTTATCAGTAGGGCATGTGGGGTTCGTCCTGTTGTAGGTAGGCACGTGGAAACATGCAAAAACTAGCGAATATTGTCTTGTCGGATCCTGAGTATCCTTTCTATACACAACTCTCTCCTTGCAGCTCATCAAGTAAGGGAACTTGAAGCAATTATGGAAGAGTATATGCTCGGACGACTAAGCGTTTAAACTCTACAGGAGCTCATTCGGCATACATTTCATGTGATGAGAAAAGTGCTAGGTATGACACTACAAATTTACAGAGAAATACTAAGTGAACGGTGCTTTTTACGCTTCCTTTCATTAAGATATATATTACTGTTAATACTACCGCCTAAATTTTAATTTCATGTTCATATTCTCTTGAACAATATACACTGTACCGTATAAAGACAAAATTAGGTGTAATAATGTACTGCATATGATGGAGAAGATTTGCTGCTCAGGGGGATGATTTTGATATGGTTGTGTTCTCTGAGCTGGATAGTTAATTCTCGAAGCTTTGATCGCCCTAGTAGGCAACAACTTCAGCGCATACTTCAATTCGTTGAAGTGAGCTTTTAGATTTCGCCACGAGTTTACTAATCATCTCTCCTGGTGACCTTGGACGTGATTAGTTGTTTTTGTGGGTTTCCACACTCTCTAGGCTACTTGTATTGCCATCGGTGCTTATTGTTCCATTGACTTGGACTTTGACCCTTTGTGTGTGAGATTTCCTTCTTATCAATTGGTAAATTCGGTCTGTCTCGATGTGTCTATTAATTGACGATTCACTGGAATACCAGGCAGGCTTCTAAAAATTCTCTAGCATTCTTTTTGTTTCCTCTGTCTAATATTTGAACGTTATCCCAGTCGCATTGATGTCCGTGGTTGTCTGTATACAGTGAGGCGATATGACAAAATTTACTAACCCATAAGAATGAAATCTCACACACAAAGGGTCAAAGTTCAAGTCAAGGGGAACAATAAGCACCGATGGCAATACAAGTAGCCTAGAGGGTGTGAAAGCACACAAAAACAGCCAATGATGTCCAAGGTCACCAGGAGAGATGATCAATAAACTCGTGGAGAAATCTAAAAGCTGACTACAATGAATTGAAGAATGTGCCTGAATTTGTTGCCTAGTAGGGTGATGAAAGCTTCGCAAATTAACTATCCATCTCAGAGAACACAACCATATCAAAATGTACTGCATGCCGAAAATTTCATATTGTGTGAAATGTACTATTTGAAATCACCGATTCTAACATTCACGATAACTCAGAAACAATCGAAAGGTGAGTAGGAAAAGGAGGCAAATACGAATTTATTTTATTATTTACAAGCGAAAAACTCTTTTTCACACATCCCATTATCATAATTCAAAAAAGATAAACTGTGAAGATCTGAGCTTCAGAAAAATATACAAAAGATAATCTGTACAAAAAGAAGACAGTGATTATGTTCAATTAGAGGTATTTTAAAAATGGCAAGTGTTTCAGTGGACTAATCTACTTCATAGGTAATGACATTGTTAAAATATCTGTAGGTACTATTGAATACTTCAATGAACCATGTTCATATTGATGTTGCTGTTGTACAGGAGAATTGGTTAGGTGATTTTCTTGACAGGAACATCTAAATGCTGGAGTTGTTTGTGTTGGTGACTTGTAACTGACATATGTTGAATATAATTTTAAATCTGATGCTGGTAAACATTTACACTCCAGGATGCTTTCGGTCTCATTCACTGGATGTCTGGTTAACGTTGGTTTGATAGTATTCATATTCTCAGACCTAAAATTATATTCAGTAGCAGAATGAGTGATAGAAAAAAATAATAAAAATAGCGTCAGTCAAACAACATTTTTGAATTAATCTGTAACTTATGAAATTTCAAATAATATCTTGTACAAATATCTGAATAACCACAATCCTGTGTTTGTAGAAGCAGTCATATAGGTCGTACAGGAAAGCGACTGTCTACTGGCATGATAAGGTATTTACCAAGGTGACTGAGAACAGCTGAAATCAAAGGGCCTAAAAGTTCAGTAAAAAAAAACATCTTGTGGACTACGGACATGATATTGACACGCTGTCAAGTCATCTACACTGTTGTCAGCAGACAAGTAGACAAGAAGATGCTTACAGTTGCTGACGCTTGTGTAATTAGAATTCATTAACGAGTTCCTAATTGTGGTGGACTGGATTATGCGTCAGACAGTGGGAAACGAGAAGACAGGGATATCCTGGAACGACGTGAAGAGCCTACAAGAACTGGATTTCGCGCGTGGATGATTTATGTTTGATGTCGCAAAAAATCGAAGACTTACAAGCGAAAACCGACAATCTGGTCGAAGAAACAGCAAAGACAGGCAGGATTCCAGGTGAACATAGACAAGACGGAGGTTATGAAAATAACCAACCAACAACAACAACTACTACAGCAGCAACATCCAGCGCCAATCACCATCAACGGGAAGGATTTGAAAGAGGTTACTTCATTCACTAATCTAGACAACCAGCATTGTCTCAACTACAGGCAGGTGGAACGGACGAGGATGTCAAATGGAGAATCGGGAAGGCGAGAAACACATTCATCAACCTGAAACCAATCTGGAAATCTTCCGCTGTCACTCAACCCAGCCAGCATCAACAACAAAATTCGGATTTTCAATACAAACGTCAGTCAAGTCAGTCAGTTCTTCTATACGGATGGATCAGAAAGTTGGCGGCGGGTCACAAAGAATATTTCCAGCAGGTTGCAGACCTTTATCAACAAATGTCTTCGCTGGCTCTATACTGAAGATCAGATGGCCGCCGAAAAGGACAAGAACCAACAAGAAACAAACTATGGGAAGAAAGAAAGGAAGAAGCAATCGGCCAAAAAATATGCAGGAGAAAGTGGAGATGGATTGGACACTCACTGGCTGAGGAGGCTACTCGCTGGGTGACATCACGCGTCAGGCCATAGCTTGGGTGGAAGCCGAAATGGAAGCGGCGGCGAGTGGGACGTCAGTGCAAGGGTGACATGGAGGAGATCGTGTGAAGAAGAGTTGGAACAGTATGGAATAACATGGATGCAAGTGAAAAGTGCAGCAGAAGACAGAAGCAAGTGGAGACGTGCAGCTGAAGCCCTATGTTACACTAGGAACCCAAGGGAACAATAATAATAATAACGAGTTCTTACTATTTTCGATTCATTTCAATATATCTTTTATCATTGCCATTATCTAAACTAGTTTTAACTTCATTACTATTTTCCAAATTTGACCACATCTTGATTTCAGTTAGAGAACCACTGACAAGAAGCAGAAAGTATTGAACAACTGTTTCGTCTTGGTTTGGGAATCATCGGCAGTACGCAACCACCACTAAGGATTGAACCAAGGACCTTCCGGTTACAAGGCAAGCTTGTATTCCATTTAGCCACGAATTGGTAAAGGTCAGAATTTATGATCCATTGAAACGGGTTCCAGTGGCTGAATGGTATACGAGCTAGCTTGCCTTGTCATCGGAATGTTCTGGGCTCCACCCGTAGAGGTGGGTGTGTACTGTCGGTGATTCCCAAACTAGGATGAAACGGCTGTCCAGTACTCCCTGTTGGCTTTCAATGGTTTTCTTACTGATATCGATCCGTGGTCAAATTCGAAAAACAGATCAATTCCTTACAAATCAACCTCTGAAAGTTCCTTATTATTGTTACTGTGGTGAGAGATGATTGCTAGCCAAATTGGTTGACAGTAATTGAGGTCAATGTTAGTCATGTGAAAACAAGGTCAAGATGGACAGGCGGATACAGTTAACATATAGATGAACTGACACAGCCACAAAGAGATGCAAGGTTAACTTTGTGTGAGAAACAACCAATCAAAAGACTGTATTTTCTACTAACATTAACCTACAATAATGTACATTAAAATCTATAAATATGTGTTGATTTTCCGTAATAAACGATCTGTTGCCTGGCCCTTGTCTTCTGTTGTTACATTACTATTTTTGTTATCAATATAATTTAGTTCAAAATTCTTGATAATTTCAAGTTCCTTCACTCACTCACAACTAACCAATTGTTTATTTAATTGGTGTAACTGAACCGTAATGCATTTTAGCCTATATTTTATATCCCTGTATGTTAGGAGAGTATTCAACTGAAGAGTAATTCTGCAGAAAATTTAATGAATTCACTAAATCTTACTTTATTTACAATATTTGTTACTTGAAAAAAATTGTTGAACTATCCCTTAAAAATTAATAATCCTGCTTATTATGGCTGAAATATTTATTTGAACATCGGAGAAGACAATAGTTTCAGGGAGAATATTAAGTTCGTTATATATATATCTTTTTTTGATTGGACACTGCTCCGGGAAGGCAGTAGGAACAGACGGCATTCCTCCGAAAGCACTGAAGACGGCCTCGGAGATTACGGCAGATTTTCTCACTCCATTACTGCGAAACGTTTGAAAAGAAGGAAAGGTGCCTACTGAATGGAAGAAGGGCTACCTCGTCAAACTGCCAAAGAAGGGCGACGTACGCATCGCTCAGCAAGAACTGGAGTGGAATAATGCTCTTATCGACTCCAAGTAAAATACTATTTGGCATCATGCTGGAGAGAATAAAGTATGCACTGAATACAGAACTCCGCCACCAACTGGAACAAGCTGGATTCAGGAAAAACAAATCATGTGCTGATCATATTGCATCGTCACCACAGAACAAAGCATAGAATGATAGTCAAAGCTTACTCCACCTCAATTTCATCGACTTTGAAAAAGCCTTCGACAGACAGTGTTGACCGAAAAGTAATTTGGAAATTACTTCAACAATACGGCGTGCAGTACTGCAAGTCTTTATTAACCTCATTCAACAGCTGGCTATATGACAAAGTCACTTGTCATGCACAACGGAAAACTCAGTGAGGCGTTCGAAGTGCATACAGGAGCAAAACTAGGCTGGTTGCCTATTATCACCTACAATAATATTTTTAATTGTTGTAGACTGGGTCATGCATGATACTGTTGGGGGCAAGGAGACAGTAATACGTTGGACCGAAAAGAAGACTCTAGAAGATCTGGATTTTGAAGACGACATATGTCTAATGTCATACAAACTCGAAGATTTGCAAGCGAAAACCAGCAAAATGTCTGAAGAGGCAGCGAAGACAGGACTGCAGGTGAACATAGAGAAGACGGAGGTGATGAAGATAACCAACTAACAGCAACAACAACAACCCCTACCAATCACCATGAACAGGGGAGATTTAATGAAGGTTGCCTCCTTCAACACCAGTGTCAAGTCAATCAGCTTTTCTAAACGGGCCAGAAACTTGGACTGCGTGTCACGAGAAGGATTTACAACAGACTACTGCAGACTCTCATCAACAGCTGCCTCTTTCTCTGGCTCCATACTGAAGGGCAAATCGCCAGGAAACTTTCCAGAAAGAATCATTAACAAGAAACTTTGGGAACAAAAGAACAAACGAAAGTGGAAAAGGATCGGGCGTATATTGAGGAGGCCGCCAAATGACATCACATGACAGGCCATCACCCGAGTGGAATCCCAATGGGAAGAGACGAGTGGGTGGTTGGTGCAAGGGTGACATGGAGGAGGTGGTGTGAGTTGGAGGAAGAGATGAGAAAATTTCGTCAATTGTGTGACTAGCCAGCTGAAGAGGACGGCAGAAAACAGAACAAAGTGGAGGTCTGTTGTTGAAACTGAATGTTCCACTCGGAACGCAAGGAAATAATAATATAAAAAATAATAATAGTCAATAAGAAGTGAAAAGTACTTACCTGAATAATAAAGGCTCCATAACACTGTGCTTTATACCTTAAACAGAAAATTAAAAGAAAACACATGAAAAGAAATTAATCATATAACTGAACCAGTGATTTTCTGGATAATGAGAGATGCTAGGACATCTGTGAACTCTGACAATAAGTTATTTTTGAGTTTATTGTTTATTTATTTATTTATTTCATGCTTCATCATGGAGTGATATCAGTTAGAGAACTATTGAAAACTACTGTAGAATATTAGACAGTTGTTTCATTGCAGTTTGGAGCTCCACGACCACTCTGATAGAGATTGGACCCAGGAACTTTCTCAGAGGAAGCAAGGTCATTGACCATTCAACCAATATTAATCGGTGATGGAACTTGGAACGAATCAAATCCGTAAAAACTCATCCTTTGAAAATGTTTATATATTCTGACAGCGAGAATAATGATAATAATTTGCTGTATTCGATCTGATCCTCACTAGCAACTGGCCCTATTCATGCAGTTAACCTGGAGTTATAGTGGTCAGCTATGACTAGTAGGGTGCAGCAGGTTGAAGGTGATGCAGTAACTCATCGAAGAAGACAGTGCGAAATGGTCGCGCTATTTCATGAATTGGTAGAAGTTAGAATTCATCGCCTGGACACTGAATTGGGTCAGATCCCAGTGGCTTAATGATTACGAGCTAGCTCGCTTAGTAACCAGAAGGTCGTCGGTTCGAACCACCTGTGGTAGGTGCGTACTGAGGATGAGTCTCAAGCTAGAACGAAACAGCCGTCCAGTACACCCAAGTTGGTTTTCTAACCAATGTCAGCTCATGATGAAATCCTCCAACCAATATTGCATTTAATTTACTCAACAACAGCAAAAAAGAAGATATAAAAATGATGATACAGGATTGATAATAGCTGCTCTTTTAGTAGTTGCAGTGACAATAGAGTCAAAAATGTACAAAAGTGTTAAATACTGATAAGAACATTAATAACTAAAATTATAAGTTAACTGAAATAGTGTCATCATAGATTAAAAGTTGGTGAGGATAAAAGAGCCAATGATTTTGCTAATAACTTAGTAAGTCAGTAGGTTTCGCACCTATCACTATCTCTGTCATAAAGTATGCGTGCCAAATAGAGTATCATTGAGTTTCAGTAATTAGCTGTACGAGAATATAATCTTTTACAATGATTTCTAGTTCTACCTGATCAGATGCAAGGGGTGAGTTGAGAACAAAGGCATAGTTTAATTCACAGTTGTTCATTCGGTTTATAATACAATTAGAGTTTCCTTATATAAAGTTTTTTTAAAGCATCACTTTACTCTGAGGAATAAAATATTTGAAAATCAGTTCCATCTAAACATTTTAATGCATTCTGAGCTCAAGTTTAAGTTTAGCTATTCTGTTTATAACTGTTAACTATGAGAAAAAACATCGTTTTCCTTCACTGTTAACTGATATTTGACGAAAATGTTTTAAAATATTTTATTCCTTTATGTTCCCAGTGGAACGTAGGGCTTCAATCTAGAGCTTTGAAGTTTCCATTACAGTGGCATTTATTTTTACGGGATGGGGTTGCTAACCTCATGCCCAACCTTAATAATAATAATTTTTGCTTTATTCCAAAAACAGTATTAATGATACAGCAAGGAATTTTCAGCATTCTTATTACTGGCTTAGCAAGGTTTGGGAGTGCCTAGGTGGCCGGGGACCGAAACTTAAGTCGCATGGGGCGTGGTTGGTCAGCATTCTACCGCTGTGCCTCCAACGCAAAATGAAGACAGTGGAATGACTAAATCAATGGGATGACTCATTCTCAATTGACCTTGCTTTGACAACAATAATAGCAGTTATAAACCTAGTTATATCCACTCTTATCAAATGAAACAGAAAGACAAGTCAAGAGACTGTCAGGCAGCCAACTTAAGGTAACATTGGATAGTTGTTGAGTGATGAATTCACTAAACAACTGCTATCCAAAAATTACACGACACGAAGAAAGAATGAATCGCAGTACTGGAGATACGTCAGAAACGCATTTTTCTTGGTTTCAGGATTTCACCATGAGCTTACATCGCTTAGAGAACTATTGGCAAAATCTGGGAGTACTGGGCGGATATTTCGTCCTAGTTTGAAACGCTTCACCAGTCCGTATCCGCCGATGTTCGAAGCCAGAACATTTCGGTTACAAGGCAAGGTCATAGACTATTTAGCCACTAGGACTGATGTGAAATAATCGTCCAAGTTATTAGGATTGAATGGAGAGAACCATCATGACACATGTCAAAATATCGTACCTAACATTAAACAAAAAAGTACAATATTCGACTCAGTATTCAAAAAAACAAATTATTAAACATGAAGAACATAGTTCTACCACCATCTCACGAGGAACAAGCACTAATTACCATTGAAGAAAGAGGATTACAGTGGAAGCCTGTGATTTCTTTGAACGGTGATAATGTATCTAGACACTAGAATGTTGAATATAAAGAATCATCAGCTTATTCCAAATGTCAAAATTCATCATAAGGAATGATCATAGGTGAATAAAATGCAACGGAACCACTTCGTCTCATTTTCAAAGTCATTTCAAACTACACAAATCAGACATCTCTCAACGACTAGTATGTCACTTTCAGGAATATCAGAGTACATTTTGTCTCCAACAATTAATTAGCAGTGATGAATAGGTCCCTGAAGACATAAAAACACAACACTCAGGCAGAATATACTTATGATTCATTTATTGTTTCCTTGTGTTCCGAGTGGAACATTCGGTTTCAGCAACAGATCTCCACTTTGTTCTGTTTTCTGCCGTCCTCTTCAGCTGACTAGTCACACAATTGATCAAACTCTCTCATCTCTCCCTCCAACTCAAACAATCTCCTCCATGTCATGCTCGCACCAACCGCCAACTGGTCGTTTCCCTTTGGAATTCCACTCGAGCTATGCCCTGCATTGAGTGCGATGTAATTCAGCGGCCTCCTCAATGTATGCCCGATCCATGTCTACCTCCTCCTACATATTTGTTGAGCGATCACCTCTTGCTTGTTGGTTTGTTCTCAGCCAGTGTTTCTAATTACTAATTCTTTCTGGCAAGCTGGCTGGCCATTTGATCTTCAGTATGGAGCCAGAGAAGGAGGCAGCCATTGATGAAAGTCTGCAGTAGTCTGTTGGAAATCCTTTTTGTGACTCGCAGTGCAAGTTTATGAGAAGAGCTGACTGACTGGATATTGGTGTTGAAAATGTGAATCTTGTTCCTTGTGCTGAGTGTAGAAGATTTCAAAATTGGTTTCAGATTGATGAAGGCATATCTCGCTTTTCCGATTCTGTCCGCGTGGCTTTTACATCTTCGTTCGTTCCGAATCCCCGTAGTTGAAACGGTGCCTGCTAGCCGGATAAGGGAAGGAGGTAACCTCTGTTAAATCTCTCCTGTTCGTGGTGATTGGTTGATGCTTCATAGTGGATTGTTAATTTGATAGTAATATATATGGCAATGTGAAATAGGCACTTCCTACATCAAAACATCTTTCTGCTGCTCTCATATATAGACTTGCAACTACATTTTTACCAGTAGAATCAAACCAAACGTTTGGATAGCTTTCACGGAGGACACATTTGTTAGGATTAGGCGAAAAGCAAACTAACCAATATTTTCGTTTACATCAAAAAATTTTCAGTAGAAGGACAATTTGACAACATATTAACATTTCTAGATGTCTTAGCTAGGTTTCTTGATAACCTTACTGCTCAAGTATTGGTTTTGTATGGATTTTGTTTGATTGCATGGAAGATTTCATCATGAGCTGACTTCAGTTAGAAAAACACTGAAAAACCTGGGAGTACCGGACAACTGTTTCATCCTAGTTTGAGACTCTTCATCAGTACGCACTCCCCGGGATTCGAACCCAGGACCTCCTGGTTACAAGGCGAGCTCGTGGACCATTGAGCCACTGGGATCTGATTCAATGGTCCTTGAATTCTAGGAGCCTTCAAGTACCATTGGATCGGGTCCCAGTGGCTCAATGGTCTGCGAGCTCGCCTTGTAACCAGAAGGTCCTGGGTTTGAATCCCGATGGGTGCGCACTGATGAAGAGTCCCAAACTAGGATGAAACAGCTATCCAGTACTCCCAGGTTTTCAATGGTTCTCTAACTGATGTCAGCTCATGATGAAATCCTCCATGCAACCTTTTTGCCATCAGAAGTTATGCATTCTTAGTCATCTAAATTTCCAAGCCTACTGTGTTGGATGATCTTCAAGTTAAAAAAAAAGAGGACTCACCCTCAAATTCTTTTGTTTCATCTGCATTCCTTCTATTATTCCATACACTCTGTACATTGGAGTCCTGATTACTGACTGTTGTTTGTTGTCTATTTAAAGTACTTAGCGAACAACATCTTGTATTGTTATTATTATTATTACTACTACTATGCGTTGATATAATTAAATACACCTGTTCACAACTATCCTCGTTTGGTTTCATTTGATATTCTATTGGACTGGTTACATGTAAGTCATACGGCTGTACCAATGTTTTCTCATCATAAGGATTAATATCCTCATTGCTTATGTAATTGTCATGTTTGGTATAAACCTCAAAATTACCACTATTCACATCCACTGGTTTATGTCGTTGATCAAATTCATTGATGATATATTTCTTCGGATCATACACTAGATCTGGTGATCTGTACAAAAACGTATCATGAGGATAGTATTGATTATTATTATTAAGAGGATTTTCATGGGAAGTTTGAAGGAGTACGTGTGTTCCAGGTAGGTGACTTGAATTCGATACCATTTGATATTCTGATGAGTTGGTATCTTTGCGATTGTGAACTTTTCGTTTAAATTTTCGTAGAACTTTTTGTGGTATAAAAACTAGAAGGAATAAGGAGAGAAATCCTGAGACTAGAATTATACAGTAAATATACCAGTAACCTTTGATTTGTTTATGTGTTTGATAATTATTGTCGCTAAGTGGCTGTGTATTGTTTCGCAATGTCTTGGTTGAGGTTTTATCTATTGACCTGGAGAAAGACTGTTGGTTATGATGTTGCTTAGAATTATATAGGGATTGACGAATTGCCTTGTATATAAGATAATGTTCATAATGAAGTGTTTGGTTGAGGGAGTTTAAGATTGATGCTGAAATGAAAAAAAAAATACCAAGAAGAGTACATCGGATTAATGGCAGAAAACAGAACAATTTCAATGACATGAAATTAACTGAAGATATTTTCCAACACATTTAGGTTCTATTTAAGCAATAAGTCACAAACAAACTACTGACTGGTTGATATGACTTGCTGAAAGGCACTCATGTCTTATATTGGTGCCTATTACGCAGTTCTAGGTGGCTTGAACACTGAAAGGCCGTTTCACTTGTTTCCGGCCAAGTCCATTAGTGGTTTCCATTGACAGACACAATTCACAGTTTAAAACAAGCAACAAAGGTTAATAAATAAAACAGGATTTGATGAATTCATCAAATTTCGATAGAACTCGTCAGCTGAATACTCTACATACACACATATATACTTTGGAAATTACATTGGGAGATATAAGACTTATAAGTAAATAAAATACATTGAATTAGTCGTGCAGAACGACATGTGCGAATATATTCTCCAGGTCATGTTCAAATAGATAAAGGGAGAGAGAGTATGAGAGATCAAAATTAAGATAAAACGCATTAAGCTTCAATTACATCACTTAGACAAACAATTAGTCATTAGAGAATATATCAAGAATAGCAAACAGAGTAATATCAATAGTAACAGTTATAATAATAATAACAATAATGATAATGAGAGTTAGAATAATAAGTGAAATGTATTACCATGGCAGATTCAGAGTCACGACCATCTCCTTTTGTACACAGAGACCTGGTTTGTAAACTCGAATTGCACAAGCCTCTGCAATTGCAAGCATCTTCTTGTTTCTTTGTCTTCTGACAATAGTGAATGACTTGACAGCGTCTATGTCATGTCCATAGTCCACAAGACGTTTTGTTATTGAAATGTTAAAGTGCCAAAAACCTCAATAAGAAAACATCTTGTGGACTATGAACATGATATCGACGCTGTCAAGTCATTAACTATTGTCAGCAGACAAAGAAACAGGAAGATGCTTGCAATTGAGGAGGAGGCTTGTGCAATTCGAGTTTATAAACCAGGTCTCTGTGTACAAAAGGAGATGGTCGTCACTGTGAATCTACCATGGTAATACGTTTTACTCATAATTCTACCTCTTATTATTATTATTATTCTTGATTCATTTGAAACTATCTTTTATCAGTAACATTATCTTAACTCACTTCAGCATTATTATTGTTATTAATACTTTTATTGTTATTATAACTATTACTACTGATATTACTCTGTTTGCAATTCTCGATATATTCTCTAATCTAAGTGATGTAATTGAAGCGTAATGCATTTCGTCTTAATTTTGATCTCTCATACTCTCTCCCCCCTTATCAATTTGAACATGACCTGGAAAAACATTCCCACCTGTCTTTCTGCATGACTAATTCAATGTAGTTTATTTACTTATAAGTCTTATATCTCCCAATGTAATTTCAAAAGTATATATATATCCGTGTATGTAGAGTATTCAGATGACGAGTTCTACCGAAATTTGATGAATTCATTAAATCATCCTGCTTTATTCATTAACCTTTGTTGCTTGTTTTAAATTCGTATCGGGAAATAAATGTTTCCAATTCAGAGTGTTGAGCGAGTTCAATTCACCCGAATTCTTACTAGCCAATTGGATGAACTTGGTCGTCATTTACAGTAAGTATCAAGGAGTTCACACTTTTTCATTTGGTTAGTTTTGGTCTCCAGGGTAAAGTGTGCTCATTTCTCCCCCTGAATCGTGGAATTCTTAGACGACAAATCTGATTCATTCACAAATAAAATTAACCATAAAAAACGACTTCTATCTAAAAAAACTAATAATAAATGCATAGTATCCCTAATCAAACTAATTTTAATCAATAACCGTATGGCGAATTAAAGATCAATTTCCAAGTCTAAATTTAGACTGCTGCTCATGAGATGATTATGCATTAAACCAGAGTAAATATTTTCATTTTGCTTATCAAGGTAAAATGTCACAGTTGAACTGAAGATATGGATTTATGAATGATCGCCAAATAGAATAAACTGTAAATGCACGTTTATTGTCCAACTGTAACCAGTTGACTTACTCCTGTGGAGCTAAGTACATAGACCGTAACAACAAGTAGTTGTCTAGATGGCTTATGAACACTGATCTGCACTGTTATCAAAAAGAAGAGCGTAGAACAATCAACAGCTAAATTCTGGTGCATATTATTACTTTTAGTCATCTAGCATCGGCAGAGACTTCTTTCAAAGTTATTTACAAAGTACAACCATATTATTCTAAAGGATTTCGCCCACAGTTTCTTCATGAACCCTAAGTCTTAGCAGTCCATAAGAAGAAACTTGAACTATGTGCTGTATTCTTCAGCTAAGTTCACGATTGTCCAAACTCTTTCATCTCATCCTCCACCTGACACAATCTCTTCGATGTCATCCTTGCACCGACGACCCACTCGTTGCTTTCATTTCGGGTTCCACTCAAGCAGTGGCCTGCATTGAGTGAGATGTCATTTGGCGGCATCCTCAGTGTATGCTCAATCCATTTATCTCCATTTTCTTTTACACATTTGTTGAGCGATCGGTTTTTGGTTGGTCTGCTCCCACAGTTTCTTATTGCTAATTCTTTCTGGCTGGCCAGACAATTGATCTTCAGTATGTAGCCAAAGAAGAAGGTGGCTGTTTATAAATGTCTGTAACTTGCTGGAGATCTTCTCCATGAAACGCTGGACAAGTTTCTGACCGGTATGGAAGAAGTGACTGACTGATTTCACATTTGTGTTGAAAATCCAAATTTTGTTCTTTATGCTGTAGAACATAAGGATCCGTTTGCTGCCTTCAGACCACGACCTGTCAGTTTCAGTCATAACACTGTCAGTGAGTATTTTACTTGAAGATTCCTTACCGAGAGTAAATACCATTTATTGTGTGTAAACATAATTCATTCAGGTACCGCATACTCCAAAGAGCAGAGTCTATCGCGATTCGCGTGAAAAAACCAGTGCTTTGTGTGCATAGTTAGCAAGTCCAGCCACTCCTACTGGCCTGACCGGCCTTCAGTGGAGACTATAAATCCATGAGTTGTATTATTATCCTTCCTAATTTCTCTGATATTAAGTGTAATGCGTGTGTATCTAGTCCTATCTTTGGTGCACATTGAATTCTATCAGTCAAGTTTGCAGTGCGGCCACCATGCTAGGTGGCTCAATATCACAGTACACTGTGAATTGTTGGTGTTGGATATATCCTAAACAGTCCTACAGGGGGTCAAGTGCGAGTCCAAATAGCTCAGTGGTAACGTTTCTGACTGCAGCACTGGCTGGTGACGCGAGTTCGAATCACAGAAGGGACATCAAGATAGCTGAGTGCCAACTAGCAGGTAGCCAAGGTGCAGTCAAGGCTTCATATGGCCAATAGCCTCCAACCATCTAACACCAACAGTGTATAGTTATGTAGATTCTATCGAGCTGTAATCCACTGATGTTATTATTATTATTACTGACTCGATGTCATTTAAACAACATTAGTGGTGTTGTTAATAACACTAATTCACTCGTTCACTAGCATGGATGAATATATAACTGTAGAACCTTATGAAGAGCAGGTTCTTGAAAATGGGAAAATTCTTTGTTCAGTAACCATTTTTTCGAAACATAATTCCCTTAAAAGGTATCGTCACTTAAAGATCATTCCAAAATGCTCAATTATGAGTTGAGGATAAAACTGCGATGTTTAGTTTTAAGAATCACCAATCAATCAATAGAGTACTAAACTTACACAATAATGGATGTTTAATAATCAGTTCATTTGATGGCTCACTCATTGACATTAAACCAAATGATCGGACACGAAATCTCAGCTCATATATTAAAGGATGATAATATAAATTCGTTAAAAATGAATTGATTTGAATATGTTCAATTGTCGATTTTATTGCGCCACTATCAACACCCTCCAGTTCATTCTCGTGGAGCATAATACTTTTAGTTAAATCTAATATTTTACTATGAGAATTTATTTCAAATGTTAATTTAGGATAACGTATTGGCGCCAGTGTTCTCCACTGGTAGATGTCTGTATTACTGTCAGAACAATTAGTCAGTCCAGATGAAAGATTGTTTAAGTATGTACAAATAATGAATTCAACTTGAAAAAATAAAATTGGGGCAGTTTGTTTCTGTTCTTGTCGCTGTTGCTGTTGATGTTGGCTATTCAGCTGAAGCGCAGAAAATTGAGGATTGCTTTGGGTTTTCCACATTAAAACACTTTCTTGTTGTTCAGCTTGGATTATCTGAAGTCTTAATGAATGTGGTGTTGGTGGTTTAGGGATACCTGTAGGATAGAAAGCGCGAAAAAGACAATTTCATCATAAAGTGTTGAAACTCGAGTCATAACATAAACACTATGACAACATCAAAGGCCATGAGAAAATTCATCCTAACTTTATAAAAAAGATATTTTTTTATTATTTTTGTTTGCAGCTTGATACCACACCGTACAAGTATGGAATTTTCAGCATGGATATCGGTATCCCAAATTTTTGCAGGCCGACCATAGATATCGGATGTGCGTCGGCAAGGTATCGAACCCCGGACCATGTGAATGGTTGGCGAGAGTCCTAACCACTGTGCCACCGAAATAACAGCTAGGATATTCAAACCGTTTGAAATAGATTGATAGCACACAAAGCAGCCAGCAAGATCACTTCATTCGATACTGTGCAAACCGAAAAGATCCAACAGAAAAAGAAGATAAAATCAATACCATCTACAAAATAAATTGCATGCGTGAAGTGCAATATACATTTCATCGGTCAGAGTGGGCATCGCCTTCTAATTCGAATCCTAGAACACAAATTGGCTGTAAAAAGACATGATTTATATTCTTTCGTATCAATGCATGTGGATAATTAAAAGCACCCATTTGATTGAGATAATGTAGAAGTTTTAAATAGAGGAAACACCAAAAATCCCGGGGAATTCCTGGAGGACTGGTACTCAAGTGAACCAGCCATTGATTAACAAACACATATTACTATAGATCAAATCTACCAGCTAATAAAAAGTAAATCACGTGACAAGAAAGTTCGAACTCCAAGTCAGTAAAAATGATCAAGAGAGAAAGATGTAAATTAACAACCAGTCACGACAGTGTTCACCAGGAGATGCAATTATATTAACATTCATGGAGAAGTTAAATGAGTTCATTTTACACTAAAACTTGCGCTGAAGATGTTGCAATTCAGTTAACCAGCTAAGTAGAAAATTAGGAAACGAGAATCGGTGGTTGGTATTATTTTGTTTATTTACAGACATTAGGCATTATACGCCTTAAATACATACCCAAATTGGATGAAATACGCCTTGAGGATCCCACTGCTGGTTACCATCAACCGAAGTAGCATTATAATAGTTTATAAACATTGTCAAGGTGTCCGTACCACGAGCCGATATGTCGTCAGAGACCAAGGTTTTCGGTCCAACATAACCAATCATAGCGAAATACAAATGAACTTTCATTGTCATTATTCCCTTACGTTCCAAGTTGGGCACAGGGCTTCCATGGCACATCTCCTTTTTTGCTGCTCTCTAAAGTCCTCTTCAACTGGTCTCACAATTGTTCATAGTACCTCATTTCTTCACACGATCTCCACCTCCTTACCCATGGATTATCACCGAACTCACTATTTCCCATTCGGCTTCCTCTTGACAGCCTGGTCTCATCAGAGTGTGTCCAGTCCATCTCCACTATCTTCCACATATCTGCTTGGCAATAGGTTCTTGGCTGGTTTGTTTCCAGAGTCAGAATCTGATCTTCAATGTGAAACCAACGAAGGGATCTGTTGGGAATGCTTTTCAAGAAGTACGTGCTCAGATAGAAGCAATGAATGACTTCACATTGGTGTTGAAAATATAAATTTCGTTCTTTGTGCTGAGCGAAAAATATGTCCACGCTGATTTCAGAGTAATGATGGTGTGTTTAACCCTTTAAGTCCTGAACAGCTTTGACATCTTCATCCATAAAATCCCCCTGTGGTTGAAACTATAAGTGAAGGAAGTGCCCTCTTTCAAATTTCTTCCATTCATAGTGATTACTGCTGTTATTGTTGTTGTTGGTTGTTTGTTTGGTTGGTTGGTGAAGTAACTTAAACATTTCGTCCGCCTACACTTCGGGAAAGACATTTTTACAACAAGTTGGAAGCAATGAGTACTGTCGAAGTCCTACTCATTAAGCGAGGTAATTGTTTCTATCAGACTACATCGTTTTCAAAAAAAACGATTTTAAATGCGTTACACCGTCTTGTTAAATCATCATGTGACTGACTGATGTGTTAAAAAAGAACTTTCAATGAAAATACACGACAGACAGTTGTACAAATACATTTTCCGGTTCTTCAAGATGTTGTATAGTGAATTTCAAAATCTTATTCTGTGTCTCAAGAACTCTTTTTTGATAAATAGACTAGTGTATTCAACTGAGGTGTTGCGTCAACACAGATTGACGTGAGGGATTATTAAGTAGACGAATTGCATTAAAGATAATTTTATTCAGGACCTTTCTAGTCAAATTCGTTGCATACCTGAATTAAGAAAAAGTGATTAGAGCTGGCATTCGTTATTGAAGGGTAATTCCATACTAGATAAGTTTATTTTAAATACCATACGGTGATGGTGCATTGCTAACAACTGGACCAAGTTTCGGGCATAAATTACTGCTAAGATTAATGTCAATTTAGTCACAAGCTTCTCTCTATTCTGCCTCTCCAACTTCTCTTTGTTGTAAGCTGCCAATTTCCATATCTCCGGTAAAGGCGTTGCATCATTCCGACTACACGTGTGTGGTGTTGAATCGATAAACAAAGCTTCAGTGATTAACCTCTCTATGTCTCCACGTAACTGTATTAATTTGTAATACTCTCACCCTGCCACACCCTATTTTGTGATTACATGCGAGTGAATACAGTGCAATGGCTGAGGTCTCTTTTTCGCAAGTTACTCAACTTAGCAGGGTCAATTATCCTAGGTCTAGTTAAATTTTTAAGATCCAATAATCTAGAAGACCCGGATCCACTAGTTTGACTGACCTATGTAGTTGACCTCACTAACAGTCATTACATGGTATTTGGTAAATTATATTATTTTCCTAAATTAGATTTATTGGGTCCTTTGTAGCATTCTCGCATCAAGAAGGAACGTTAGAGGTCTTGTGTAGGATTCTCAATGACACTAAAATTAGGATGGCATTTAAGCCAACCAACTCTTTCAGAGATAAACTTTGTCGGCTAAAGGACCTATTCATCGTAGGGGTAGTAGAATTTTCCAGAAGTCCAAGTGGACAGGTGTTGAGTCATACCTATATCGCGTGTTCTCAACAGATTCTACAAATAAAGCTTCCGTTATCAATCTCTCCCTCCAACTTGTTATGTTGGATTTTAAGACTGTCATCTTATCCCATCCATCTTACTGTATGGTTGTGTGCAATTGCATGTAGTGAGTGCTTATAGCTGAACTATTCTCCAGATTTCTTACCTTATTACTAGGGTCAAGTAATCTAGATTTTGCCACTACTCTGACTGAGCCCATTCTACCGTTTTTGCTTATGCATCTGACCTGCAAAACATTGCAGGCAGGGTATTAAATAAACTGAATTCTTTTGTTTAATTGACTCCACAGGATTGATCCTTTAACCAACAAAGCTTGTTTTTAATTAAGTTTGTGGGCTCCAACGCCACTTTCATTCCTGCATTGTTAACAATTCTCCGTAATGTTTTCGAGGTTCCTTCCTTGTGTGGAAGCGATACTAATGGTTTAAATTCCCTATTGTTGGTGTTGTCATTATTCTGTGCATTTTTGACATCCATTTCGTCATTAACACTATTATTACAATGATTACAGTCACTATCACTACCATTATTATTAATTTTAGTTTCACATTTCCCTACGGGCTTCCTGATTAATTTGTCAGGGTAATTATTAAGTTTTAAAGCTTCTCCTATATGTCTCACTTCCTGTCATAGATTTTCCTTGGTACTACTTAGTTTTGTGCTCTATTACTTAGACATTTCACCAATCCTATTTTCACTGACATAGGAAGGGATGACCGGAAGTCCATATGTCGGTTTGAACGTGTGGGCTTCCTGTAAACACTAGTCTTTAACTTCCCATCTTCTTCTCTTTTTTTACGCTAAAATCTAACAATGAGAGCTACCCTTCCTGACATTCAGATTTATCAGTAAATTGAATTTCCTCCACCTTCTAGTTGATGTGTTGGAAAAATCTATTTATATCTCGTGTTCTAAGTACGGTGAATGTGTCATCTATACACCTCCGCCATACTTTTGGAGTGGGACTGAACTTTTTGATCACTTATTTTTCCCACCTCTCCATGAATATTTATGCCACAATCAGGGATATTGGTAACCCCAATGTCAAAACTTACCATGTTTTCGTCGCCATCTCATTGTGAATTATCTATCCTACGTTTTATTCCATAAGAATTTGAATAGCTTTTAAGAGGATTTAATACCATGGCTAAATATTTAGATAATTCATAAGCAGGTGAATTTCTAAAATCAGCATAGGCCTAGTAGGGTATCCTGACTTATGAACTTTAACAACAACATACATCCTCCTGGGGCTATTAGTTTTAGGCATTAAATTAAACCATTTAGACTCACCTAGAAACGGCTTCATTCGGCGTAAAGGTTCCTCTGTGGATATCTTAAGCTTATTTATAACGGTGTCTATTGATCTGAATGCACCTACGATCCCCAAACCTCCAGGATACAGGGTCGGTCACACACAGAGTGGAATGAAATCTAATATTTTATGAATTCTAGCCACTTTTGTTTCGCTATATTCTGCATTACGTGAGAATTAATACCATTTTTGTCCACTGAGAGTTCAAATACATATTAAGTCGATGGGTAGAAAATGAACAGACAGAAATATTTTGTTTTACAGCTATAATGTAAATGGCTGTCAAGCTTGATACGAATTTTATCATAATGGCTAAACGATGTAAGTTTCTTGAAGTAATATTTGAAACCCATAGATAACATTTTTAACTACAATGTTTAATGAGGATAAATCATCATTTTATTACCTTTCTCCAATTCCTCGAATTGTTCTTTATATCCAGAGGTCAATTTCAAGGGTGATTCCGTTTTAATTAACACAGTTGAACTACTTGAATAACTTTGATTTGATGGTGTACACCAATGGCTTATTCGAAACGCATACAGTTCATTTGGAATAAGTCCATTTAATCGTATTCTGTTTGAATGTTTAGGCTGCACAACAGCTTCAAGATGTGAAAAAAAACAACGAAAGAGAATAGTGAAAATAATAATTTTTTTTCAGTAAATGGCTTTTAAGTATTGGCTTTGTAGGGATTTTGTTTGATTGGCTGGAGGATTTCATGATGAGTTGACATCACTTAAATAACCAATGGAAAACCGGAGAGTACTGGATGGTTGTTTCGTCTTCGCGATTTGAACTCTTCAGTAGCACACAACCACATGGTAGGATTTGAACCCAGGCCCCTGTGGTTACAAGGCGAGCTCGTAGACCATTCAGCCACTGTTACTCAGCCAAAGGGCCAGTTCATGAATCCTAACTTCTGCCAACTCATGACATAGCACGACCACTTCTCAGTGTTTTGTTTCATGAGTTACTTGAAAATTAATCTAATGCTCACCAGCGACTGGCCTCATTTATAGAGTTACCTGGGGTTCTTGTGGGAAGTCGTGACCAGTATGGTACAGCAAGTTGAAGATGAGGCAGTAACTCATCGAAGAAGACATTGTGAAGTTGTTGGGCAATGTCATGAATTGGCGGAAGTTAGAATTCGTGGACTAGCTATTGGGTCGGGTACCAGTGGCTCAGTGGCCTACGAGCTCGCCATGTAAACAGAAGGTCCTAGGTTCGAACTGCGCCAGGTGAGTGTGTACTGCTGAAGAATTCAAAGCCCTAGGATGAAACACCTCTCCACAACTCCAAGGTTTTCACGTGCTTCTATTCAGTACAGAATTTGTAGCTTGGTTTTATCTAATCCTCATAGAGAATCTGCTTTTTTATTGTTTTACGTTCTGAGTGGAACATAGAGCTTTGAACTTTCGGTAGCAGTGGTAGCCTCATGACTAACCTTCCCTCTTTACCAGTCTTATTACTGGCTTAGCAACGTTTGGGAGTGCATCGGTCGGGGATCAAACCCCAAACCACATGGGGCGTGGCTGATGAGCATTCTACCGCTGTGCCACCGATGCAGAGAATCTTCGAGTAAGACAGCAGTCTGCAGTATATAATTCGACTAGATTTCTCTCCAACTTCAACATGCTCCAACCGTCGACGTATCTGTTCATTGAAAGCAGAACAAACTGTACGTCAAAGTCTATTCAAAATTGCACACAAGCACAGGTTACTCATCAAGAACACAAAAAGATGGTTAAAATAAATTAAAACTGAGCAAAATTGATGCATTGAGCTTTGTGAAGAACTGGGTAGCTCAGTGATTTAAGCAGATCGTCGCGCATCCAGAAATCCTCACATTTCTGGACTCAGTTACTGCAGAATAAACAGTTTCAGACAAACTCCATGTCCTTCCTGTATCCTTCCTTCGAAATGCCCTTAAAATCATTAATAGGCCTGATAAAATTCTATAATTACTTTGACCATTAAGTAGATAAAAATATTCCCTACATAAGAGACGTATACATTATTACTTATTCGTATCACTATATTATCTCACTCTACAATATACAAAGTGATTTAAAATAAATGACAGTCAGTGTAACCAAATTCTGCAAGTATTCCATTCCTAACTGAGTCAAAATCATACCAGCTAAGTACTTCATATATATCTTTTCTTCACCTGTAAATGTAACTTCAGAATAGCAGACTGAAATGAACTTAAAACACTTGGTGAAATCAAATGAAAATGTCAGTGCACTTTGTCTTATTGTTACCTAGTGGATAAAACCCTGAAATTCTAGAAACTGTTTTTCAAATATGACTCTAGAAGGATTTCCAGGGTAGTGATATCAAACATGAAATTATTATTATTTTACTATTACTCCCTTCGGTTCCGAGTGGAACATAGGGCTTCAACAATACACGTCCACTTTCTTCTATTCTCTGCTCTCCTCTTCACCTAGGTCCACGATTACCCATAATCTCCGATCTGCTCCAACTCTCATAATCTCCTCCATATCATCCTCGTAGTACCAACCCACTCACCGCTTCCCACTGACATTCCATTCGAACGAAAGCCTGCCCTACTCTACCCCAGAAGGCATCAACTGAATTGGTATGAGTATCAGTTATGGGATCAACGAAATCATCAGATTAGTTAACTCGATGATGCACATATCCCTTATCTGATATGCGGTCGTATCCCACCCTTTCGTCAGCGTGAACAGTACTACCAGGGATGACTAGTGTTTGAACAATCGATAGAAGGATGTTGACATTACGGCCTGGATTAAGCTTTATAATCCCCTTCTGAAGTTATTTGTCGCAGATACCCAATATCCAAGCGTTGTTTGCTCTGGGATGACCATGGTTGTATTTCTTCTTTATAAGAACTGTTTCATCGATATGAACAGTCATACCAACTCTTCCTAACAGTTGTGAAACAGTATTTAACTTTCAAGACAGTATATCCCTGCATTACTGGAATCATTGCACAGTAGACAACGATTATTTGATTTGGTTGTGTTCTCTGAGCTGGATAGTTAATTTGCGAAGCTTTCATCACCCTACTAGGTGACATCTTCAGCGAATATTTCAATTTGAAGTGAGCTTTAAGATTTCTCCACGAGTTTATTCATCATCTCTCCCGGTGAACTTCAACGTCGTGATTGGTTGTTTTTGTGTGTTTTCACACCTTCTAGGCTACTTGTATTGGAAATGATTGTTTCTTTGGGTTGAACTTTGACCATTTTTTGTGTGAGGTTTCTTTCTTATAGGTTGATAAATTTTATCAATTTCGATATGTCTATTGATTGATGATTCACTGGAATGCCACGCTTCTAAAAATTTTCTATCGTTCTTGTTGTTTCCTCTGTCTAATATGTGAACGTTGTCCCAGTCGAATTGATGTTCGTGGTTGTCTGTATGCAGTGAGGCGATATGGGGGAGGGGATGCGAGGTTATATGCATGGATGTGAAGACAAATAGGATGTCCACTTTGACCATTGTAATGTTTTTCGCACTTGTCACAGTTTATTTTGTAGATGATGTTGGTTTTATCTTCCTTCGCTGTTGAGTCTTTTGGTTGACATAGAACTGAGTGAAGTGATTTTGTTGGTTTTTGTGCGACGTCAACTCCTAAAGGTTAGACGAGTCTTGCAGTGATTTCCAATATATCCTTTATATATGGCAGGGCGACTTTCTTTGTGCTTTCCTTGGGGGCTTTTGGTTTGAAAGGTTGGCTTGGGGGTATATGTCTTTTGATGAAATTCCGTGGATATCCATTCTTTTTGGGAGACGTCCATGAGATATCTTTCTTGAATTTTCCTTAAGGTGGGAGTGCTGCAATGAGTCCTGGCTCTCTTGAATAGTGTTTGTATGCAATTCCTTTTGTGTGTTATTGGATTGTTGCCGCTGAAATTCAGTATTTGGTCTGTGTGAGTTGATTTTCTAGTTATCCCGTGGATGTTCCTTTGAGTAAGACATCCAAAAATGGGATTTTGCTCTCGGATTCCTCTTCTCTTGTGAATTTGATGTCGTTAAAGACGTCGCTTATTAAGTTGTGAGTTTTTTCTAATTCGTTCCTTTTGATTATTAATTTAAATTTAAATTCATCAACCGATAAGAAAGAAACCTCATTCACAAAGTGTCAAAGTTCAAGTCAAAGAAACAATGAGTGACAATGCAAGTAGCCTAGAAGGTGTGAAAACGCACAAAAACAACCAATCACGACGTTGAAGTTCACCGGGAGAGATGATGAATAAACTCGTGGAGAAATCTAAAAGCTCACTTCAATGAATTGAAGTATGAGCTGAAGATGTCACCTAGTAGAGTGATGAAAGCTCCGCAAATAAACCATCCAGCTCAGAGAACACTATCACATCAAAATCATCCACCTAAGCTAAAAATCTTCTCCATCATATCCAGACACCGATTAATTATCTGTCTCCACAGGCACTATTCTCACCTATGCCTTTAATATACAATAATCGCACATAAAGAGTATGTATTCGTCAGAGGCAGTTTCGATTTATAAGAGGAAGTTTCTAGAAAACAGTGAAGTGAGTGTTTACCTTACGAGTACCAACAATCATTTGTTTCCTACATTTTTTTACACCTAAATACATATCCATCACACGCTTGTGAACACCGTTGCAGGTACATGGAAGCACCACATGGACATTTAAGCCTACGCGCTACCAGAACATTGCTCAAACAGTACTTAAAAACGTGATCGGGGTGAAATTTGCTCATTAATAGGTGAATAGCGTTCTTACTGGCGATATAATAATGGAAAGCTTAGTTATTCAATGAGCATTCACACTCCTGGACCGTGATACTTTAACTTAACCTAAATGCAAACCAATATTTTTACAATAATTTGAAAAAATTTGCAGGGAATATTCTATGGATCAGATTTTTATGATTGATATTTCAAATTACCATAGTTACTCACTTGCTATCCAATCTTCTCCTGATCTAACAGGCATATGATATATTACATAATAGCACAGTGTTTCCTCACTGTCAATAGACTGCAAACTAGATACTTTGTTCCATGACAAAAAAGCTGAATAAATAAAGGGTTTCACATGTAAAACAATATTGTAGACAATTTGGTTCGTCGGTCTTCCTACAAGATCTTGTTTCAACTCTACTGGAGTCAAAATGCGACCAATTTGATTTTCAGCAATACAGAAATATTGTCCAGTGATTTTAGAGACATTTTCACTGAAAATATGAAGGGCACCATCTGGCAGTCTACTCACACCATCCGGTAGACTATAATCGACAAGTTTTTGTTTCTGTTTTGCCCCATATTCTGTAAGGAATTCTTTTATCTCTTCACTGGAGTTGGAAATTTCATCATCATCATCGGAAGACTGTTCATCTTTCTTTCCTCTGTCGTCATCCTCTTGACCTTCTGTGTCTTCCAATGCTGTCTCGTATACCTTTCTGTTGTTATTTGAACTTGTTGGAATAAGGGAATTTAACCAAGCCCTTTCTCCTTGATTCGACTTAGTCTAAATCAATACAAAATGAAAATATGTGGAGTTATTACGAAATGCAATGATAAAAAGAGAAGCTTTTTTGAGTTTTACCATGGATTGATATCCGTTAGAGGACCACTGAAAACCAACCAGGGAGTACTGGACAGCCATTTCATCCTAGTTTGCGAATCATCGGTGGTATGTACCCACCTCCAGGTTTCGAACCCAGGACCTCTCGGTTACAATGCAAGCTGGTATACCATGCAGCCACTGGTACCTGATTCAATGCCAAGCCAGTGAATTGAAAATTCTACTGATTCGTGATTTTACCGCGGCCACCAACGAATGTTATCGGCGGGAAATGCATCCATCAGCTCTTGAAAAAGAGAATCGATTTTAGAACAGTCGAGTTTAAGAGGCTCTGGAGAGAATCAAACATGCCCTGGATGAAAAACTCCGACCGGAACAGGCTGGATTCAGGAGAAACAAGTCATGTATTAATCAGATCGCCACATTACGGATGATCATTGAACAGAGCTTGGAATGGCAGTCACCTCTCTATCTCAACTTCATCTACTTTGAAAAGGTCTTTGACAGCGTCGATCGAGAGGTGATTTGGAGACTACTTCGCTACTACCAAGGGGTGCCACCGACAATTATGCATCTTATCCAACACCTGTACGACAATGCTGCATGCCAAGTAATCCACAACGGGAAACTTACGGAATCCTTCGAAGTGAAGAGGGGAATTAGACAAGGCTGGCTGCCTACTATCGCCAATGATTTTCCTGATTGCAGTAGACTGGATAATGCGACAAACAGCGGGCAATGAGGAAACAGGCATGAAATGGACTCACACATAAAGGAGACTTGGAGGATCTGGACTTCGCCAATGATATATGTCTGATTTCCCACAAACTGGAAGACATGCAAGTGAAAAGCAACAAGTTGGCAGAAGAAGCATCCAGAGAAGATAGGACTTCCTTCAGGTGAATATAGAGAAAACAGAGGTGATGAAAATTCCTGGCAAACACCACCGACAGCAACAGCAACAACAGACAACAATCAGCATAAATGGAAGGAACCTGAAAGAAACAACCTCTTTTACCTACCTTGGAAGCATCGTTTCAACTGCAGGCGGATGCAGTTGACGAGGATATCAAAGCATGAACCGGAAAAGCAAGACAAGCTTTCACTACTCTCAAGTCTGTGTGCAGGAGGTCGACAGCCCTACTCAGTCAGCATCAAAACGAAGATGAGATCCGGATTGTCAACTCCAATGTGAAGTCAGTCACTGCTACTCACTATACGGATGGATCAGAGACTTGCACTGCGCGTCATGAAGAGTATCTCAAACAAACTACAGACCTTCATTAACAGCCGTCTTTGCTCAGTAAAACTCAAGATAAGATGGCCGATCAGAAAAGTTCAGCAACAGAGATCTCTGGGAGCAAACCAACCAGGAACCAATAGGCAGGAAGAAATGGAGATGGATTGGCTGGCCATACTCTGAGGAAACCATCAAGTGAAATCACTAGACAAGCCATTGCTGGAGTGGAACCCGACTGAAAGGGAAGCGGCGAGTCGGTCGTCAGTGCAAGGGGGACTTTGAGGTGGTCATGTGAAGAGGAGCTGAAAACTTGTGGGCAGACTTGGAGTCAGGTGAAAACGTTGACAGAAAACCGAACGCAATGGAGACGCGTGGCTGAAGCCCTAGGTTTCTCTAGTAATTAAGGGATACAATAATAATAATGTTTATATGATTCATCACAAACTCCAGTGATCTTTATTATTATTATTTATTGTATGTATCTACAAAAAAAAGGAATGAAGTTTTTTAGAAATAATATGATGACTATAAAGAAAGGAGCAAACGATACCTAAGTGGCATAAATTCTCATCAGCAATTATTACTATTGGCGTTACTTTTATCTGAGTAGTTCAGACTCATTAGTAAGGAACTAATCATAAAAAATTCCCATTAAGACAGAGAAAATTAAAACAGGAGATTCATCGAAGAAACCCTTTTCGACGGATGCATTATCAAGCTATACAATCATATGTATCATTCGAAGTTAACAAGAAGATGGTGAATTATTGAAGAGATAAGTTCATCGGAAGCTGCAATGCAATTACCAGCTGACAAGTCTCTGCAGCTGGACATCCGTTAGTCGAAAACGAAACTTGATTCGATCACTTGTGATTCACATGTGGCGCATATAATGTCCTAATGCTATGAAGGAAGAGTTAAATCAGTTGAGAGAAATTTCATTCCAAAATGGATATCTACTAAGTGTTATAGATAAAAGTCCACAGTTAAAATTTACGAAATTTGATTTGGCGTTTATATTGAGGAAAATGCTACAAAAGAACCTTGAATTCAAAGGTGACTTAGTTGCCAGTGTCCTTAAAAGAAGAATCTCATAATCCCTGAAAAGGATATTTGCTCTAGCATCATGAAGAGTAGTGTTCTTTTGGCGACTTTTGTTGCTCAAAAACCTAAAGGACAAGACCCCACAAATGACCAACCCTGTGTGTGTCTACCAGTTCAACTGCTCCAGTGGAGATGATTTGATAAGTTGTTTAAAGTCGGTTTAATCTAAAAGGGTGCAACAACATTTCAATGAGTGATTTCGAACAGGAGAAAGTGTAATAGCTGAACTGGTCAATACTAGTCATCTTATTTCTACATTCGCTTCATTTGGAGTTATAAATAGAGAGAAAAATAACCTGCCAAAGTAATTAGGTGTCCGACTCATCTGTATTGCTGGATGTTTAGATATTTAGATAGAAAATCTAAAGCTTTGTATGTAGAAAAAGTTTGTTCCACCACTCCTTCTCTTATGGTCCTAAGCCGATTGTGCTAAACTATTATTATCTCCACTTCTACTTCTCGTTTTGACCGCTCAAACTGTATTATTTTATTTCCTTGATAATTTTAGCGGAAAAATCTGCTTCAAGCTGTGCGCGTTGAAGTCTCATAAGTGGCGTTGTTTTTACAGGCTCAGTTTGCTCAACCTCCTCTCTTTTCCGGAATCAAAACCGGCCATAAGGGTTGTAACGGTGTGTCTGTGAGGAATCAAAACCTCAACGATATGAGTAATATAACCACCCCTTATTATTCTGACTGTTCTTGTTAATTTCGCCTTAAACAATTCCTCGTATTATCCAATGTTATGCAAGTACTCATATCAGTTTATCAGTAGTATGTTGAAAGTGGGTTCTCAAGTATTAGATTTGTAGGGATTTTGTTTGATTGCATGGAAGATTTCAACATGAGCGGACATCATTTAAAGAACCACTGGAAAACCTGCAGGGAGCACTGGACATCTGTTTCGTCCGCCTCCTTTGGGACTCTTAAGCAGTACGCACTCACCGGGGTTTGAGCCCAGGGGCTTCTGGTCACAAGGCGAGCTCGTGGACCATTGAGCCACTGGGACCCGATGCAATGGTCATTGAATTCTTAATTCTGCCGATTCATGACAAAACGCGATCATTTCCCAATGTCTTCTCCGATGAGTTGCTGCCTCATCTTGAACCTGCTGTACCTTACTGGTCATGGCTTCTCACTAGAACCCCAGATTAACTACCTGAATAGGGCCAATCGCTGGTGAGCATCAGATTAATTTTCAAGTATTGGGTTTGTAGGGATTTTGTTTGATTGCATGGAGGATTTCATGATTGGATCGGGTCAGTGGTCTATGAGCTCACCTTGTAACTAGGAGGTCCTGGGTTCGAACCCTGGTAGGTGCGTACTGATGAAGAGTCACATAGAAGGCGGACGAAACAGCTGTACAGTACTACCAGGTTTTCTAGTGGTTCTCTAGCTGAAAGTGAGTTCATCCATCATCGCCTTATACTAATTAAAAGCCTAAAAGTCCTCCTTCTCAATCATGCACTAACTTTTACAAAGACATATGTTCACGTATTCTGATAATATTTATCGAGGTTATCAGTAATGTTCGGTTAAACCGAAATGAAGTAATCACTTCAGTAAAAATATGAGTTATAATCACTCATTAGGTCAAATGTCGCATAACACAAGATCTGATTAATACTCATTCGGATAAGGAAATATTTCCTTCCTATCCATTTTTCTATTTCCCTACTGGAGAATATATAAAAGCTTCGCCAAGGAATAAGGTAGGTGAGGTGTCATTGTAATACTAGATGGTTATCGCATAAAGATAATGTAGGACAAATGAAGTTGATTAATTAATGCGTCGGTAGCACAGCGGCTAGGACGCTCGCCGACCATGCACATAGTCTAGGGTTCGATCCCCGGCCGATGCACACCCAATATCAATGGTCGGCCTGAAAAATTTGGGCTACCGATATCCATGCTGAAAATTTGATACTTGTATCAAAAGTACTATATGGAGTCAAGCTATAATAAAATATAAAATAAAAAATAAAAAAATATAGGGCTCGAAAGATTATTATAAAAGTTTATTCACTCAAATGAGCTTTGTGAGTTGTATTCAACTTACATAGTACCAGTGAATAACAGGTTTTGGTTGTCCATTGGCTTGACACTGTAGAACTACTGGTTGACCATTTTTTACAAATTCAATTAAATTTGGCTTCTTTGTGAAGTAGGGTAGTTCTGTCAATAAAAAAACGAAAGTGGATAAGTCATGAAACAGATAGTGGGACTGACTACAGTTACAGAACCACTGGAAGCCAATGGTTACTGGCCGGCTTTTTGGTTAGTCCTTATCTGGGACTGTTCAACAGTATTCACTCATGACGCCATCAAGTATCTGACCCAGGACCTTCAGTTTACACATGGCGAGGTTGTATAACTTTGAGTCTCTGGGATGCGACTCACTGGTTCATTAATCCAAACTTCTGCCTACTCTTGACATAACTTATTAATAGTAATAATAATAATGATTTACTTTATTCCAAAAACAGCACTTGTGATACAGAATGGAATCTTCAGCATTAATCACAATATCTTGCATCTAATTTCCTCAAATTATAAATAAAATTAATCACACAGAAAATTTTCCACATTTACAATAGGGGCAATGTCAAAAACATGCAGATTATAAAATGGAAATAAAAATAATTTAAAACAATTAGTTCCCTTTATGAATTTAGGTAAAGCAATAAGAAGATGTAATTTGTCTGAATCGTGTAATGCTGTATTTGTGCAACACATTTCGAACAATCTGATTACACACGGACTTGTCATAGGAATGTGTATATATGAAATTAATAAAGAGGTAAGAGGTGAGAAAATAGATATATTGAAGGTCAAAATAACTATGAAGACCACCAAACCAAATAGCAGAGGTAATAGTGCATCTACCCTGGCTGGTGTCAAAACAAAATTTACCAAAGAAGGTTTAATGTGATGACGAATTGTTACTTTGAACGCATAAAGGTGGCTTAAACTTTCTAATTGCCAGCTAGGGCTTCCACAAACTTTTTATGCAGCCAATATCATAATAATAGGGAATGTTAAGCCAATATATCTATCTAAGCCCTTCGAACATGCGAAAAGTGACGTCACATCCCACTGTATTTACCAATTTGAATGTACTTGTGGACACACACATACACATAGGAGGACTTATCGATCTCTGCAAGTAAGGGCTGGCTTCAGAGCATATTCCTAAATGGCTCCAGAAACAAATGGAATCGTCAGAACCTATTAATGGTGAGAACAGGAGACCTAGCTGCTCCCTTTTGAAACATTTTATAGAGATAGGACATAAAATTGACGTTAACACATCTTTTAAACCTATCTATAAAACGTGTTTGGGGCGTATCCTAAAGTTTGTGAAAGCCCTGGCTGGCAATTGGAAAGTTTAAGCCAACTTTATGCGTTCAAAAATAATTCGTCATCACATTAAGCCTTCCTAGGTAAATTTTGTTTTGATATCATAGCAGATGTACTACTACCTCTGCTATTTGGTTTAGTGGCCTTCATTGTTATTTTGACCTTCAATGTATCCTTTTAACTTAACCTAAGTAGTCTATTTTCTCACCTCTTACCTCTTTATTAATTTCATATATACACACTCCTACGACAAGTCTGTGTGTGTGATCAGATTGTTCGAAATGTGTTGCTGAAATATACAATACACGATTCAGACAAATTACATCTTCTTATTGCTTTATCTCAATAATAATAATGATAACAGCTAAGGTAATAATAATACAAGTGAAAATTGCCGTGGGCTTGTTTCACACAGTATTGTCGATGCGGTATAGAAATCCTACCACGTTTAAAAATATTGAATATAATGTTCTCTTTACATGACGATATGGTGAGGGGAAAAAACAAAGATTTCAGCAGTCATAGAGATAAGTTGGTGTTTGCAATTATGAGAGTAAAACAAAGAAGCAACAGGACCATAAATATAGTAGCAATAATAAAAGTAAAACGTGAAGGGATATAAGGATGGATGGAGGAAACTGTCTATTTACTAGATGAAAAAAGGTTAGTTAGTGCTTGACTGACACTATTTTCATCACCAGACAGTGTTCCAAAACAAGGAGGAAACATCTGTCTGGTTCTCCTTGCTATTCAATGATTCACTAACCGAAGACAGTTTGTGATCAGTCTTGACATAAATTAATTGCCTGAAGATGCCCACTATAAATAGTAACAGTGATTCGTAAACAGGAAATATTCTTGTTGGCTACCATTTCAGATTCTAAAGTTATATGTTCATATAAGTTTATGTGATATTTGTTATCAACAAAATAAATATTTTTCAAGGGTTAGTTCGTAGGGATTTGCTTGATTTCAAGTTTGTCCATGGATTGATATCGGTTAGAGAAGCGTTGAAAACTAGAGGATACTGAATAGCTGTTTCGCCCTAGTTTGAGACTCATCATCAGTACTCACCCACCGGGATTCGAACCCCACGACCTTATGGTTACCATTCAGCCACTAGGACCAGATTCAATTGATCATGAATTCTAAACTCTACCACTTCATAATTTTACTGAGACCATCAGTCACTGCTATCGGCGAGTATTTGTACTCATAACCAACCGGATGGACCCCGCTGACAACTTCCCACCTGAATTCCAGCCAACTTCGTTCTGTAGCCAGTTGCTAGTGTGCATCAGATTATTCTCCAAGAATTGGTCTGTAAGGATTTGATATATTCAAGTTTAACGACAGACTGACATTGGTTAGAGAACAATTGAAAACCGACAGTAAGCACTGGACATCTTGATGCTTCGCCCTAGTTCGGGACTCATCGGCAGTATGCACCCACCGGAGTTCGAACCCACAACACCAAACCATTAAAAAATTCGAGACGCTTTCGTAAGTCATCAATAAAACACCAAGTTCAGCACTAATGTTTACTGCCGTAGTAACAACCTGAAAGGTGACCAATACAACTTACCGTTAACAATCACTTGTAGCTGTGGTGACCAAAGACTCCAGCCAATCGTATTGCGAGCTCGACACTGATAATACCCAGCATCAATTTCCTTGACAGTGTCCCATTCATACCAATAAATAATGTAAGGCTGAAAATAGAGATGAGTGAAGTGTAAAAGAAACTCTAGTAAATTGTTAGTTCATTCAAACATTTTAGATTTATACCAATTAGTACCCCACAAGAATTTAGATGAAACAGTAAAATGGTATAATTTGTCCAATGTGTGTAACGTATTGGCGAACCCATTCCGAGTATTCTGATCATATAAACGAACGCGTTATGAATATTTATATAAAAGTTAACAAAGTATAGAAAAGGTTAATTCTAAGGCAATACAGATTGATATCAGTTAGAGAATCATTGGAAACCAGAGGATACTAAAAATCTGTTTCATCCTAGATCGGGGCTCATCGGCAGTACTACCCACCGAATTCCGGGTCCAGGGCCTTCTGGATACATGACTGTTTTATATAAAAACGTTAACAAAGTATAGAAAAGGTTAAGTTTGAGACAATACACGTCATAATGATAATTCAAAGGTCAAAATCATGGATAAAAGGAAAAGTAAAGATAATGAAGATAAAATTTAGATAATACAGAAAAAATGGTTAGTTTTGACATTGCCAGTTTATATTCCCGAATACCAATAAATATGGCTATGGAGAAGCTACAGACCTTCATTAACAAATGCCTTCGCTCAATACTCAAGATCAAATGGCCGGAGAGGATCAGCAACAAAGATCTCTGGGAGCGAACCAACCAGGAACCGATCGTGAAACAAATAGGCAGGAAAAAATGGAGATGGATTGGACACACTCTGAGGAAACCAGCAAGTGACATCACTAGACAAGCCATCGCTCGAGTGGAACCCGAAAGGGAAGCGACGAGTTGGTCGTCCAAGGGTAACCTGGAGGAGATCATGTGAAGAGGAATTGAAAGCGTTTGGGCAGACTTGGAGCCAGGTGAAAACTAAAGCAGAGAACCGAACGCAATGGAGACGCATGGCTGAAGCCCTATGTTCCTGTAGGAATTAAAGGAAATAATAATATAATAATGGCTATGGAGGCAGTCAGAAACGAACTCATTTCTGAACAAGAACTCAAACTTAGGACAAAAGTGCCACTTGAGGACATAATGCTGGGAGTACAGCTATGCCTGACTTCCACAGTATTTAAATTCCAAGGGAAATTATACAAACAAACTGAGGGAGTTGCCATGGGATCACCAATATCCCCATTTGTAGCACATATATTCATGGATAGGTGGGAAAGCATAGCGATTGAAACGTTCAACCCCACCCCAAACGTATGGTGGAGATATGTAGATGACACATTCACTGTACTTAAAACACAAGATATAGATAGGTTTTTCGAACACATTAACTCAAAGGTGGAGGCAATTCAATTCACTTATGAAATGGAAAGTCAGGAAGGGGAGCTTCCAGTGTTAGATTGTAGCGTAAAGAGTAAAGGAGATGGGAAGTCAAACAAATCAGTGTGTTTACAGGAAACCCACATATTCAAACAGATATTTGGATTTCTCATCATCCTATCCTCTGTCAGTGAAAATAGAATTTCGATAGAGAAAGAAAGACCAGATTTGCAGATCTGCAAATCTGGTCTTTCTTTCTCTATCGAAATTTATCAAGGGAACCAAATGTATGAAAATAGAATTGATGAAATCTTTAAGTGACAGAGCCAGAAAACCCACAAACTCAATTAGAAACAAGCTTTGTCGGTTAAAGGATCCTGTAGAGCCTTTAAAACAAAACAATTTAGTTTATCTAATACCCTGCAATGATTTTCAGGTCAAATACATAGGTCAAAGTAGTAGAACAGGGGCAGTCAGACTAGCTGAACATAAAAACCTAGCAAAATCTAGATTGGCTGACCCGAATAAGATAAGAAATCTAGGGAATAGTTCAGCTATAGCACTACATGCAGTTACACACAACCACACAGTAGGATGGGATAGGATGACAGTTTTAAAATCTAATGTCACAGGGTATAGGGAGAAATTGATAACAGAACCTTTGTTTATCGAATCAACTGCAAATACACATAATAGGAATGATTCAACACCTGTCCACTCAGATATCTGGAAAATTCTACTACTACTCCAACGACGACAAATAGGAGAGAACAAAGGAAACTATAAAACTCAAGTGTCAAAGTCGTGTGATTACAATTGATATGATTATGAACAATAAATTTTGTTCGAAACGTCATCCAGTAAATACTACTGTTTCACTGTGTATTATATCTAATAAACAAACTAATATGGAATTACTTACTACCACAGTGCTCACGTTTTACACATATAAATAGTAAATGGCGTTTTCATGGTACAGGATTTAAGGAATTTAATTATATGACTAATAGATGTGTCACCACTATGGGTCCAGTGTTGGTTTGCAGGGATTCGATTGATTTTAAGTTTGATCGTAAACTGAATTCAGTCAGACAGCCAATGCACACCAGTTGTTTCCTCCTCATTTGGGACTTTTCAACTCTACGCATTCATCACCCCATCAGAGATAGTACCCGGTTACTTGACAAGCTGGCTTACTTTTCAGCCACTGAGACTGATCCAGGAAACCAGTTTGAACGACCTCGAACTCGTTTCCAATTGGCTTCAATTAGAAATAAAGCTCACAATTGTTGTGTGGCCATCTGTCCTACTATGCCTAAGCTTTGGCAGCACCATCTGCTAGCTCTTTAGCCTAGTCACAAGGTTAGGCAGATCAAGCTGCTCTTAACACCATCTCGACTAGAGAAGAAGGAATGTAGTCTTTACAGTTATTCAAGAATGTAATTAATAACGATGGTATGAAGACAGTACAGAAATAAACAACCACACCACGAAGCGGCAGCCGCACTCTTGTTTCTTGAAAACCTGATTGTCCTCAGTCTGATCCAATCAGCACAGAAAAACCAAGTGATCGTTGAAAGCGAAGCGAATGACATTAATTCGAATAGATATACTTCCTTTACACTGAATCCAATGGCCAATGAACTATAATTTCTGCCTATTGGCGATATTTACTGATATACATAGTGCCCATCAGTGGCTGACTACGAGATGAAGTTACCTGTAGTCCTAATGGGGAGTTGTAACCAACGGGGTGCATCAGGTTGACTGTGAGGACAGATACTAACTCAGGACACTGTTTGTTGATCGCACTACGTTATTACGAATCAGCAGAAATTATCATTGGTGGGCTATTCGATTTAGTCCCAGTGGCTAAATGGTCAAGGAGATCGTCACGTAACCTGAAAGTCCTGAATTCTATCCCTGGTAGGGCCAGTAGATGCATATTGTTGAAGAGTTCTAAACAACTGTCCAATACTCCTTGGTATTCAGTGATTCGCTAAATGAAGTCAATTTGAGATCAAACTTTCAAAGGAATGTTGAAGTCAACTTTATGATCCGTTTCTGTGATATGCCCTGAAAGAGGTGACATTCAATATATATATACTCCTGGGTCTACTGAAGTCAGAATAACTCATTTAAAAAATGCAACCACTTCCGAAATAGTTTTTCTATATTTCCCGTACATCTTTTCTTGTGGTTGTGTTTCAGAGGATAATGAAATGTTATTATTGTGCAAATTCCCAATTTGGCGATAACTCATGATGGTAGGTAGGGAAATACCGCATTTACCGTTATAATTTGTTATTGGTCAGACACTTTCGTAAATTTTGACAGTTATTCACATTGCTGAAAAAAAGAAACAGTTGCACAGCCAGTGCGGAAGGTGATCACACTTATATTTTTGTTGCATTTTGTCAAATAAAATGACAGTCAAAAATGTCTGAGCATCTTAAAGCACCAATAATGACGACGGATTTGAATGTTATTCTCTTTAATAAAAGAAAACATTCTTCAAAGGTAGAGAAACTAAATACTGAACAGTCTCATAATCCTATTAAAGCCTTCCGAAAAAACACGGAATGTGTCTCTGTGCTTCAGCGGTAGAATGCATCACAACAGCGAACTTGGTGTGCACTCCCAAGCCCCGTTTAGCCAGTTGCAAGCCCAGTGAAGAGAAGAGGTAAGACATGAGGTTTACAACTCAACTTCATAAAAACTTAACACGACAGCTAATGAAACCTTCGAAGCCTAAACTTGAAATCCTGAATTCCACATGGAGCGCAAAGGCATGAAATAAAATGTAACTGAGCTCGTATATTCGAAAATGATTAACAAGTGAAAGTTCAATGAATCCGTTCGAGTGAAGTCATACGTATGACGATGATATTGCTGATTGTAACTAACTGCATCGTGCAACACATTGTGAGAGCAAGAAGGCGTCAGGCTTTCGTCGGACAGTTAATAAGACACTGAAATATTTGAATTTCATACAATGATGACCTTTTATAAATTTGAACAAAGAAAGAAGAAACATTGGAGCAGAATAATCTGGATCCATTTTATTTCGTCGGTACTCATCAGCCACGTATAACCTGAATTCTTTAATAAAATAAAAAAGTGTACAGTTTTAACGAACTTTTGTCCATTAGCAAGTATACGGTACCTCAGGCTTCTCAGGTTTGCTGAAGCTATAGCAATAAAACAATTGAAGCCTGAATTATGTGTCAAAAGGAATCCGTTGTTTGACTTCAATTACCCTGGTAACTCACTTCTTAGTAACTCTTTGTTTTCTAATTTTGTTAACTTATCTCTTCACTCCAACCCCCCCTTTTATGTTTCGCTTGACTCTCTTAAGAGATACTTTTTCTTGATCTTCTGAGTTCTGCTCACTGTATTACATCATCAACTTCGCATCTGACCTCATGTACACCGAAATGTTGATCTTCTCTTATCTAATCACGTAACTATTACTAATTTTCTTTTGTTACCACCCTAACAACACAACTTTTAATTTTTTTTTCAAGAAACTTCTCCCTAACAAGATATACATATGTATATGTCGTAACAGTTCAAAAACCTAAATCGCAACGACTTATTTCACTATGACGCTCTGACAATATGCTTGTTGATGGACAAAAGTTTGTTAAAACTGTACACTTTTTGATTCAATTAAAGAATTCAGGTTCTACGCAGATGATGAGAACCAACGAAATA